TCCCCAGCCTTTGCCTCTCATCCCACCAGAGAGCTCAGGGTGCTTCGGTGTGTGACGGGTGGGATCAAAGTCTCTCAGGACATTAGTGCGTTGGATAAGCGTTGAACACAGGAGCTCTGCTCCCATCAATCCTACCACAGGCAGCTCATGGTAAATAAACACAGTGTGACAGGAGGAACGAAATACTTACTTTGGCCCATTAAGGTTTGCACTGAGGTGGAAGAATTAATCCCAACAACAAACCCTATTGCTTCTAGGGTTTGGGGTTTTTTTAGCATCAGACACCCAGCTCTATCTGCTTTTCTCTAGTCCAACAGAAATCAGTGGCTGGAGCCAAAAACCTTTGGAGGTCTGGAAAGATATGTCAGGAGTGAGAGTCACAGCTTGAAGGCTTCCAGCAAGCTGGGCTGAGCTGGGATTGCCCTGGGCAGGCTAAGGACAGGGAGGGTCCAAAGAGGGACCTGGACACATGGCCTGGGGACACTGTTGCACTGGGGGTGCAGGTCATGTCCACATTTTTTGGTTTACTTGGCTTGTGATGGCAGTTAGAGGTAAATAGAGGTAACCCTAGCTTTGTCCTCACTGAACTGCAGGTGAGCATCTTGCTGCTTGTAATGGCACAGGGTAAGATCCCTCCTGAACTGTCAGGGTCAATGGGTAAACCTACCCTCTGGATCCAGAGTTGCAGGTGTCAGAAAGGCAGAGAGGAGCAGATTTCACTCTAGCGGTTATTCTTTGGCCCCTGCTTTTGCATGCAGGCTTCCAGCCGTGCTGCAGAAGGCGGCACTGAGGTAGCATGCTGATACAGGGGCTGTAGAGGATGTCTGCTCTGGATGTGACAGTCAGCCCTGTGCTGCTCTGTGCAGAGTTCACAAGCCTGTTCCTCCCGAGAGGCAGATCACGTTAGTGTTTTTGCTTTGACTACATTACCCCATCCAGCCCTCTCTCTTATTGCACATGCAGGGAGAGAGATTGACGAGACGGTTCTCTCCAGAGGCTGTTAAGAGACATTTAGCTTCAGTTAAGACTCCTCATAAAACGAGTCAGCTTTTGTGCAAGACAAGGCAGCGCTTGGAAGCCCTCCAAGCCAGTGGAAGGAAACACGATGCTCAGGCAGGGCTAGAACTGCTTGTCCCAGGAGATGCGTGCAGGAGGAGCGCTGGTGAAGAGAACTGGGCTGTGTGGAGGAAAAGGGTCAGGTGGAGCTGGGATCCCCTAACGAGCCCGTTAGGGAATACAACTGAATTTGTCACTTTGAACCTGCTAGAAGCAATGGGCAATGCTCTCCTGAGGGAGATCTGGAGCCGCAGACTTACCCAGGTAACCAGTAGTCTCAAAATATCCCTTTTTTTTTTTCCCCCCCTAGAAACCAAACAGCCTCTCTACTGAAAAAAGTACAGTTATGGATGCTGTAGGCAGGTGGGGAAGCAAGAAATGCCTTCATCCTACCTCGGCACGCTTCCTTACGGTCAGCCTCCAGGCTTGTGCATCCCCTGGAAGCATTCAGCAGGCTGGCCCACATGTTTAGGTCATCGTAAGCTTTCTTCCACCTTCTGGCGTAGGGAAGGGGGTAAAGGCTCACCCTTGAGGAGTGCCCTGTGCCCCAGCAGCGGGTGCACGTGAGGCTGCGTGGGCTGCGGGCAGCGGCTGGCCTGCAATCAGTGCGGGCAGGGGTGGCAGTGGAGGGGCTGCTTCCCTCCAGGCTGAGGCTGGCTGGAGGGGGTGTAGCGCTACGAGACAGCAGCTCCCTTTCTCTCCTGTGTCACTGCGTGCATTGTATTTCTTGGCACCAGGCATCCATGACATCTTGATTTGCAGACAGTCAAATAAAATAGAAAAATAATGTCCCCTGTTAATAGGTTGACACACTGCTTCAGGCCAAGTGTGAGTATTTCTATAGCATTTGCTCTGCTGCCTTATGTCAGTAACTGTTGCTATTGAAAGTAAACACCCCAACTGGTTAAATCAACAGCGTTTTGTTTATTCAAAGCTCATAAACTCCAGTAGCTGTAGGTCACTTTATGAAGTGCCAACCCCTGGGGGAAGAGAAGGAATAGTGTGAAATTATTGCATGCAGTCCACCCATCATGAGCCTTAGAGGAAGGGGATTTATTGGCAATTAATATTTCTTGCAGAGGAAAAAAAGTAATCCTATTGAGGCAGCTCCACACTGAACCTTACTGGGGGAAATGGGGTGAAACCTTCTTATAGGCCTGGGTAAAAAAAAAAAAAAAGAAATATCTTGGAAAATGAAAAGTGGGGTTTTTTTTAATAGGGTTAGCAAACCACAGTGGGAGGAGAAGAGTGCAGGCAAAATGGGGCAGAGGAAATCCGGCGCTCAGTAGGTGCCTGTATTCCACCACCTTTCCATTTAGCATGATATTTGCATTGAGAAAGTCAACTGAAACACTTCCAAACAATATTCTGCTGCGGATATAAAACACACATGGGTTTTGTACTCCTACAGGGGTGGCCAAGTTTGGGTCAGGGTGAAAGTAGTTTTGGAGATGCCCATAGCCTGCTCGTGCTGTAGCTGTGCCTGAACATAGCTCTGCATTAGCCTGGCTGCTGCTAACCATGGGGCTGTGACAGCATGAAGCTGATTCGTGGCACCCACAGAACACCTCTGCCCATCCCAGGCTTCCAGGCAGCGCTGCCTAGGCCACCCCAGCTCGGCTGAGGATGGCAGAAGCGTTTTTGGCATTCCCTAAGAGCTGGGATACACATTCCCGGTGAACTGGCTGTCCTCTCCAGCTCCCTGGTAGGTCGCAGCGTACACAAACACTGCGCTCTATGGAAGTTGGACAGAGGCTTGGTCTTCAGCAGTGATTTCCAACTTGCTGAGATCCAAATGTAATTAAGATGAGTCAGATGGTTATTTCCAGGCTAAAATTTGTCCTTCCTCATCCTGAAAAAGCCTCGAGAACCACTGATCTGTAGGATGTCAGGTACAAAGCTCTCTACTAACATACTGAAGTTGGTAGGAGATGTGGAATTTTGACTATTTGGGATACTTTGGAAGTGAAATTTGGGGACTGAATAGGAATAAACAGTGTCCAGGGCAGAACTGAAATACTTTTTCTCTTGACTATTGTAGACGTGGTTTTGATGATTGCTATTCACTCTTAAGCCTTTGAGGTTACAAATCCATCTTTGTGATAAATCCAATTATGAACTCATCAAAAATCTGAGTATTTGGGGAAAGGAATTAATCATACAGCCATGTGAAAAATATTAGCAGCTTCTGTGAAAATAATCTGAATATATATTCCTAATTGGCAGTATCTCAGCCCAGCTGTTGTTATATATTTGAAGGGAACAATGAGTCATAAGCCTGTTTTAAATATATTTTTTAAAATGCCTCTTAAACAGCACAAGAAAGTTATAAATATTGGATTATCTATATATTTAACAAGAGCAAAAACTCTTTGTCATGACTGGCAGAAAAGGTTCAGCTAAGCTTGTCCTTGATAGAAAAGTTGCTCCCCTCTTCTACAGACATCTGTCTGAAAGGTTGAATGCTTGTGTTTTCCCACCAAATACTTGAGTGTTTTCTTCATGTGGTGGGAGAATCTGTACAGCTCTCGCTGCAGCCAGGAGCTGTTGGGTTTTCAGCTCTCTGAAGGTTACTCAGCAGCAAAAGGGTGCTGGGACCAGGTCACAGAAAGCGCAGTCTTGCCTGTGTGCGAGTTGAGGGCCAGCACTGAACGTGTAGGATAATATTTCCTTATTTTTGGCTCAGCAGCCAACGGTGTTCAGTGAAGGGAAGACACAAGTGCTCAGGGTCTCTTGGGAGCAGGTTCTTTGTCAGAGAAAGTTAAAATCCAGCCAATGCAGCTGTTAAATAGATGAGCGGCATCCTCTAGAGGCCTTTCCAGTTGGGGTGGATGAATCTGGAGGAGTTTGAGTGCAGGTCATGAACTCACAGTTCACCAGACCCAAACTGCTGCCCACCTGGTCTGGTCACAGGGAAGCTCGTGATATTTTCCAGCTGTCTGTGTTGTAGGGAACAGTTCTCGCATCTTCATGTTCTTCGGCTCCTGACGCTTGTTAGCAAACAGTTGGAATGGACTTGCAGGGATGGTGACCAGGATTCTCCAAAGCTTTTCTGACTATGCAAATGGATGTTTTAGTGTGATGAGAGGAAAGAAGGTGGAGAGATGGTACTGTTGCAGTTTTCTGGCTGGGGAAAGAGAGAAAAACGTGCCAAACTCACACTGCAAGTTTGTGGCCAAGAACAGTAAAGGCCTTAGAAATCGTTGATCCCGTACATGCCCATCTGGATTCCACCCTACCTTTTCATTCCTTGCCTTTTATAATCAAACTTGGTTTGCAACACAGGGCCCTGCTTCTCAGACATTCAGGCCTCTGCAAAACATGCTTGCAGAAAGCCCAGGCTGCAGCAGAGTCCCGGTGTGACCCCTCCTGTTCGCTGACATGAACGTGGCTTTGTGATTGCCCCTCTTGCTGTGTGCACAAGGCTTGATGCCTGCACATGGAGACAGTGCTTTTGTTGGCAAATGGATTGTTCCATGCCCAGTGTTGTCCCTGTTCTGTAGGAGGCAGTGGGCTTTTGTAAAAGAGGTTTATTTTTATTTTTTTTCTGAAGGAATTCAGTGTTATTGAGTGGAATCCTCCCTGCAGGTGGAATTTTTGGGCTCCAAGGCTGTAGTGTGCCTGCACTTGAAAATTTGGCCATTTATTTGGAAACAGACATGGGCAAGTTCCAGCTCATTCATCCAAGCTGTCCTTTCTCAAGGACAAGGAGTAAGGCCAGCACAGCTGAAACCCTGCAGCCAGCTCCTGAATGTTTCCAAATAAAATGCCTTGAGTAAGTTTATTTTTCCTTCTCAAACCTAAATTTAGCACCCTGGAGAAGCTGCTTTGGCAGTCAACGGATGGTAACGATGACAAGATCAATCTGTGGATAGTTCTGGGAAGATTTGGAAAGTCCTGGTAAAACAGAGTTGGTTTCATTCATGTCTGCAATTTGTCCACAGCCCAAAGGTCTGCTCATGAGCTTCCAATGGTTGAAAGACAAGATATTGATAGCTGCCTTGTTTATGGAGGACAACAGATGATCCTGACTGGACAAAATTTCACAGCAGAGTCTAAGGTGGTGTTCACAGAGAAAACATCAGGTAAGGCAGTTTTTTTCTAACTTTCCCTAATGGGACAAGGCAAATCTGTAGAGCTGTTGTGTCTCATGGTCTCATCCTAAGATTTGTGCTCATGAGTAACTCTTCTCGAGTGAGTAATCCCATTCAAGTTCATGTAAGTAAAATCAAATCACTTAACCATGTGAGTGAAATTAGACAGGGGAGCAAATATTTTTGTTCTTGGTTTACAAGAATACAGACACTGGGAATCTGCAAGGACAGGATATGTTATCAAGGAAATGGGGTGACCATTACATGTCCCTTTGTGCTTGTTCAATCTTGTGTTTAGCGATTGCTACTGTAGAAATCATAATTGAAATGTAGAGTTTTTTATTGATATGAACTACAGGCAACGGTTGTGTTCTCTTCCCTCTAGAAGTCGGTTGGGGTGGGAGAAATGTGCATAATGTGTATTTTTATATCAAAGTAAAATTATTTTTATACACATACAAGAATATGTGTATGATGAATACATCGCTTCATCTCCCATATTTTTTCAGATATTTTATAAAGGCTCAGACTGTAGCAAAACAAATCATATTCAATTAACAGAGAAAACCACCTGTTAAAGCCCAATGCTACCTTTTTCCCCAGTAAAGCTGCTTCTTTTACAACATGTTTTGCCAAAGTTTTCAGGTAATCTTGCTAGCTCTTGAGCAACCATGAAGGGGGAATGAGTGGCAGATCGTTGATTCTCCCTCCTCTTTTCATCTTGTATACTTATTTGCTCAACTTGCACAGAGCCAGTACAAGATGGTCCCAAGCCCTGACTGGTGCTGGATGAATATAAATAAGTAACAGGAATAAAGAATGGTTACTGGGAGTTATTTAGTTGCCTAGCATCACCTTTACTGCCTTCCCTGAGCTCTCTGTATTCTGTTTTCTTAATGGCATGCTATAATAAGCATCACTTGATTGCTGACTAAAAGAATGCCTGTTTAGCATGATCTAATGGTTAAGGTGGGCAGCAGAAATCCAGGTTTTCTTGTTTACAGGAGGAAACGCAAACAAATGCATTCTGCTGTAGTTAGTTACCTGTTTTTTTCAGAGCTGAATTGTTTCTTTTCTAATATCATACGCATGCAGGCATTTCACCTCAGTAAGCACTGTGTGTATTTTATTGGATTTTCTAAGGCTTTTGCAAAGGGGCATTTGTTTCTTTGTAAATGGTCTGGACTTGTTTAACTTAGCCTTCATTAAGCTTGAGTTTTGGATTCTAAATACTGTGCTCTGCAGGGATAATAACAGTGTCCAGGGATTAAAAAAGCACTTTGCAAATATGAAGGGCCACGCTCTGCCATCCTTTACCCCTGTCGATTTCAGCAAGACGAAAGACTGCAATATGAAAAAGCATCAGCCTGTTTCGTGTAAACTTTGTGTTCCCGTTGTGCTGTTAAGAAAACATGTTGCTCCTAAGTTTTTGGCGGTAAACTAAATTAGAGGCAGCTTAAGTGATACATCCAGTGACTTGCAAGGGATTTAAGAAATTGCATTGCCCAAGTGAACAGCATGAGCATGATTTATGGGGTAATGCCTTTGGCAAAAAGTAAGAATTGAACCAAAAAATAATGTATGTGGGATTCAGCTGGTGACGTGGGGGGAAAAAAACCACAGGCTGTGGGTCCGTTTCTTCCCACACCACCAGCAAACCATGGGATTTTGCAGCAAAAATGAAAGACTCTGGGCCTCTGAACTGTGACGGTTCAGATGAGCCTGTGCAGTCAGAGCAATTTTCTTGGCATCCTGTATTTCCTTTTAAGCCCGCGTATTAATTCCTTCCCACTGTGCTGCCACTGTTCCATCGATGTCAGCGAATTGTGAAGGTGCATGGGAACATGCTTGGCAGCCCACGACGGTACCTGTCCCAAGAATGTTTTGCAGTAACTAAAGGAGATGATACACTAAAAGGAGGTAGCTCTTAATGCCATTTCGAGGAAACATCCAAAACGCCCTGCCCCTATTTCCATATAAGAGCAGAGAAGGCTCTGGCTGGAATAGATGTTAGAAAGTAAAAAGAACAACAACATTTTCCACACTAAATCTAAAGCTTTTCTTCACTGCTGGGGAAACTGCGGGTTTTTTTCTTTTTTACCTCCTGGTAGTGGAGAGGCATGACTTATCCCAGCGGCAGTGCCCAGTCTGGAGCAGGGATTTGCATGCTGGTGTTCCATATCCTGCCTCCACCACCTCCCCTCTGCAGGCAGGCTCAGTCTGATGGACTTGGAATAAATGATTGGCAGAGAGGGGGGAGTTTAGAGAATGGGAGGCCCAGCGTCAAATCTTTGGTGTGAATCAGAAGTCTGTGGAGTTTGCAGTGGATTATCTGGGGGACTCTGCTCCGTGCTAAGGGCGAGCTAGCTGGTTCTCTCTGTATCCATGCACCGTGTTACAATGCAGTGATACCTCCTGCAGGTATGCCCTGAATAAGTGAAGACTGCTTTCTTTAACAGGTGTATCTTAAAGTGAGGAAGGTTAAGAAGCTGAGCTGGATATGCAAATTATTCAGGGGCTGATCAGACTCTGGCTGACAGCAGTAGGTTGAGAATTAAGCCTTTGTGCTTAGGCTGTCAGAGGTTAAAGAGTGTCCCAGCTTGCCTGAAAATTAGGATCCTAAGCACCTGTGATTTTCAGCTTCCCTCATTATGCACTGTAGACAATTTTAATTGTCACTACCATGGCCATGCTTTGTTGTCATTGCATTAGGTTGTGTGAACAGAAACCAAAAAGGCTCCATTCTGCAGCCCGATTTATCAATTAGAAATGTCACTGGGTGGAAGGAGGAGGCGGATCCTGCGTGTGCTCCGGGGAGCTCGCTCGCTGTAGATCTGATCTGCACAGCACCTTGCAAAAAGTGTTGATAAGCAGTTCAGCAGCGGAGTAAGCCACAACAAACATCCCGGTGGGTGGGTCGCGCATTGCTGGCGTGACTCTGTCATTGTTGCACCCTCATCCAGAGCACCACACTGCCCCGGGAGCCTGCGAAAGAATCGCACCTTTGCCAAGGCAGGAAGATGCACCAGCTTGCGGGGGAAACACGGTTGTCTTTGAGTTTCATTTTAGCAGCTCACACCTTGTCTGTGCTAGAAGTGGTATTTGATTTCCCACTTTTGCCACCAGTTTTAGCTCTACTAGTAACGACAAGGGTGAGAGCAGCAGCATAGAAAGGTTTTGGCATGTCATACTGCGTAGAGCTTGACTTGGCTCAGTCGTCCAATGTTTAAGATGAGAGTAGCAAGACTTTTTTTTTTTCCCCCAAAACCTTTGTGCGAGTATCTTTGTGCAGAGGGATACTGTCCTGTTACTTCTTTCATAGACTCCAAAATTTGGGTGTAGCTTGAATCTGGATCAGTGTCCACAGTGATGTGGGTGCTGAAGGTGGCACTCAGCGTGCCTTACAAGTTGGGGAAACTGCAGTTGGGGGTCACAATTGTAAATTAGGTTTTATCCCTCAGGCGGGCACTCAAAACCTATTTCAGTTTCCTCTGGATCTTGTAGGCAATTCTTTGCTCGTTGTAGCAACGCAGAGAAATGTAGAACTGTTCATGTGTGGGACCAAAACACAACAAGCTTCTGAGAACAATAAGGAACAATTTTTACTTCTCTGTTGCACAGCACTACAAATACGTATATTTTTCCCTAGAAAATAAAGAATATTCCCCATATTGTGCTGGGATTTCCTTATGAAAGTAACTGCCTTGTATTACGTGAACTCCAAACTGTTGCAATGAACTTGCCAATGAGAAGTCTGTAAAAGTCTCTCATTTTCGACTCGCGACAGGAAACGCAGCAGGAAGCGAACTGAAGGGGCCGGAGCTCAGTGCTCTGTTCGAGCAAGGGGATAAAGTACTTGTGTTTGAAATGGTGATGCACAAATAGCATTCATTTTCTTAACAATAAGGTTTGCCAACATGCAAGCCTTACAGTTCTGAGTTCTTTTTGAGGTTATCTCTTCCTGATGAGAGATTGTAATCTGTAGCTGCTGTAAACCAGGGGAACTCATGAATTCGGTAGAGTCAGTCCAGCACACAAAAGTGGAGTGTGGCTGAAGGAGATTTAAGATCTGAGCACAGAGACATGTAACTGAGGCCAGTGAAATAAAAATAGGTCAGGGGAAGCAACTAGATCAGACTGTACAGCTAGAAGATTTTGAAGTGCATGTATTCTTTTAATTTTGATCTGCAAGACAGAACTTGAAAAGCAGTCTTATGGCTATCAAGGATTTGGAATATGTTAAAGGTCAAGGGTGTTAGTGTTTGGTTGGGGCCCAGATCTTACAGTGCAGTTAAAAAAAGAAAAGGTTTGGAATTCCCCCTTTTATTTGCTTTAATTGTCATGCGATAATTTGCAAGTCAGATGTTGTTGGTTGCATTGTGTTTACTCCCATTTGTGTACTGGTTACTGCTGCTCTGCTGTGAGTGATAGGGGAGTTTCGCGTTTCTCTGGGAGAAAAGTGCAAATGGACTGTGCTTTCCCCTGCCAAACTCTTATGGTGGCCACATGGACATCATGAATCATTGCTAGGACAATGTGGGTGGTGGAGGAACAACCCAAACAGAAAGCGTACATCTTTGGAGTAGATCCACCGTAAATCTTTCAATTCGGCCATGCAGTGTAAAGCGAGGAGGAGGTGCTCTCTGTGCCCTCTGAACTGATGCAGCTGTCAAGGCCTCTGAAGCATGGACACTAGAAGTCCATTTGACAAAAATAAATCTTTCCAGCTCTAGGTTCAAGCAATGGAGTTCTAGTTTCTTTTTCCCCATGAGTTTTTGCGTGTCTGACACCTCAGTGATATTTTCGTGACAGTGGTTTATTAGGACACTAATAGCTAGAACATGTGAGCTTGAACATACTTGAAAGTCTGCTGGTTTCAGGAGAGTTCACCACAGGGCAGGGTGAGGACCACTTTGTTTAGTGTGTTGGTGGTGAGTTGATGCTTTCATCTGCATGGTGCCCCAAGTGGTCTGTCTGAGGGGAGGCATTTG